GCAATAATAGTCTTGTTCACCCTCATCAACAACACCATTACCATAGTAGGACCAGTAGTGAGGAGACTCGTGAGTCTAGTAGTAGCACTTGGGAAACGTCAAACTTTGTCTGTGACAAGGAAGTGGAAAAAATTTCTGAACGAATGAACAGAGGAAATGTGATTCCAGCTGAATTTGGAAATGGAAATGGTCATGAAACCATTACTTCAACCTCGGTACATTACAACAACTCTGGTCCACCTGGTTTACCGGCAACCTCAATGAATCAACACTATCACAGTTCATCTCACCTTTCCCATCCTCATCTACTTCAACAACAACGGTCACAGTATGGCTATGATCAGGTTAAAATGAATCGACATTCAGTGCCAAATCTAAACGGTCCTGGAAGAGGATATGATCAGCAACAATATTACTTAATGAATGAAATTATTGGTGATAATCAACAAATGTTAGCCAACAACAACGGAAATGTTAATAATACCCATAATCCAGTTGCAAACAACAACTCCAACATGAACAATAATAATAATTTTACCATTAATAACAATATCATCAATAGTAATGGTAATAATAGTAATTTAAACAACGGTAATAATGTCAACACGACAGAAGATAATTACTATTCCAATCAAGAACAAATTGACCTAATTAAAAAACAAATGATGCTTCAAAAGCAGAATAGCTATTTGAATGAATCAACAGCATCTTACATGCAACATGCCAGTAAATCTCAATCTAATCTCAATGGAGCTCAGGTAAATATGTATTCATTAACTTGCAGCTATTAATTAGAAATAATTTCCAATTAGTATCAAAAGCACGCAAGTTATTAAAAAGATACTCAATTTTAAACGTTTCCTCCAAAGTAATTGTTCAACAACTTTTCAACCAAACTCTGTACAATTGATTCTACCATCAAATTTATATTCAAATAGTTTATTGAAAACAATTTATATGAAAAAAGCACAATTTCAATTGCTATTTATTGATAATTCATATTTTAGGTCACAATTTTTTACATTTTTAAATCAAAAGACCAAAGTTACTGTAGGTGGATTTATGATTTTGATAGCTATAGCAAATTTATTAATAGCCGTTGAAGTAATTAATTTATTTATTTGATTTGCTTTCTTTTATATGTAAACCAACGGGTTTTCAGTTCAACTGGAAACTTTATACAGTAGTCATTAGACTTAAGTTAACAAAATAGTGCCAGAGTTAAGTTAATTTTCAGGTGTCGCCATCTCGGTTCTAATTAGTTTTCAGAGAAACTAGACAATAGAGAAATGGACAAAATTAAATTCGATCTTAAAGGTACTTTTATTTCTTGTTAGATGGCGACTATGAAAAAAATATCGGCTTTTGTTAACTTAAGTCTAATGACTACTGTATTTCATTTTCAAGATGATTCCGTTATTTGATGGTAAATGACGAGAAAAAATTGAGATTATTTAAGAAGCAAAAGTAGGTGGTTTGGATGATTTTATTATTGATTGGCATTGACAGTTGAATCTTTGTTACAATCTTGTTGATTGAGCGGAGAAATGCGTTTAAATCTGATGTACCAAATTAAATTGATTGGTCTGACTTTTTTTAATGATCCTCTTAAGATTCAAATTTTTCTCATCCGCTTTTTTTTCTTTCTTTCTTTAGATAAGCAACTTGTCTGGTCAACAACAACAACCGAGTGAATTAACAACATCGCCAACTTACCTTCCAATTCACCAGCAAAGGGCAGTTAATCAAAGTTTACTTCGATACCATCAACATCAGTACCAAGCATCCATTAATCCTCCAATGCAGCCCATGAGCCACTCAGTACACTCTGGACTTCCTCAACAATCTCAGAAGCAAGCAAATCTTCAACAGCAAAGTGACCAACAACAATTGTACAGCAATTATAGTGCAGCTCATCATATGGGTAAAAGTCAATCAACACCTAATATGAGTTGTCAACTTACCAATCAATTGCAACCTCAAGCTCAACAATGTTCACCTTACAATATCAATCACTGGGTGATTCAAGAAGCTGAACTTCGAAGATTACATTATACTCAGCAACAGGGGCCTGCATTGATGGCTCGTTCAACAGCAATTAACAAGTTTCCTCAGCCAAGTCAAGTTAATCCAAATGCTGGTAACACTTATGAGAATCATGTTTATGAAAACAGTCCTTTTCGAGGTTCAAATGCCTCAGGGTTGAACAGAATTCCAAATCATCCAGGTTCGTAGCTTCTTTTCACTGATAAACTCTTATTTTTTGGTCATTCATTTCAAGATGTTCATCTTCAATGTCTTTCGCTACAATCGTCTCATCTTTTTTCATCTCAAGCAAGGTGTGTCAAGGTTAATTGATACCAAAAAGGAATAATTTTTAATGAAACTTTTTCTTCCATCAGTTTATGATGTGAAAATGTTTATCTCTGCTAATTGTGCATTCAGAATCAATGAGCAACACGAAGCTCACATTCAATGTAATTTTAATTCACATGAGACCAAATTGATCAATGAATTTA